ATTTAATACATATATATATATATATATATATATATATATATATATATATATAATGTAAACAATTCATTTGCTATATTATTGTAATTTCTAATAATATCTTTATTTAATGTTAGTTAAAATAGTAATCAATTAATAAAATTATAATAGTAAAAGTAAGAATAAAATACAAAAATGATTTGTTTTGTACAGTGGTTGTAGAGTATATTAATCATTGCCAAAGACTTGGGAAGAGGGCAATTGTAAATTTTCATTTGATAAGTGCAAACTATATAAACATCAATACTTCATCACTATTAGAATAGCTAGCTTAGAAGATTCCCAATGTATGATATAAAACTATTTTCATACCACTCCAATCAGTAATCACATAATTTGGACAGCAAGAAAGGAAAAAAAGATAAATATATCATCTACATAGAAAGATGACCTATAACACTCACTGAACAATATCTATGTATCATCAGACGAGACATCGCTTATTATTAACCTATACCACTTATGATTATATAATTAATCAACAAAACTTATGTAAGTTGAACAAATCTTGAAAGTGTTGAGAGATGCTTAAAACCCTATCACAGAAGCATTAATTGAAGTCCACTCACCAACCACGCTTCTTCAGAAAATCTTTAGTTCTCTTCCTCATGCGGGTGAAGACAATAACTACACAAGCCAATATCCATGGAGGGAAGTTCACACCAGAGAAATTCAATTTCTTCAACCAATCCGGAGTATCCCTCGAAACTAGCGTTATCATAAAGATTATTAAAGCAACCCCAACCAAGATCCTTGTCACTGGTTTAATTAGTGAGTCCTGCAAAAGAGAACTTTCAGCCAACGAAAATATTACACGAATTACATATATCTTTTTATTAGGATCATATGAACTTCATATCATAGACAGATATTTAACATGAAAATGATGGTTTGAGGCATTTCAGTTTAAAAAAAATAAAAAAATTGTAGAGTATCTACATCACTCGAGCAAAGGAGTGATTCAATCCTGAATCTTAAGGCATAATCTCCATTCACCCAGTCCAACTCCTGGCCTGCCAAGTCCACCTACAACTCAGGTAACACCCGATGCTGACACGTGTGAACGATGCTGACACGTGTGAACGGCGATTATGTCTTAAGATCTAGGGATTGAATCACTTCCTAGTTCTATGATAGGAGAATTAATAAGAACCCTCCAACTACTGTGTATGTTTATGTTACAAGGAAGAGGGGTAGAACATGGAGTCAAAACCCTGTGGATTACAAACAGAACAAATAATGGAGGTTCTGTTAGTTAGGAGAACAGAATATAAATAGGTGAGGTAGTTCGAGGGAGAGGCATCGGATTGGTCAGTTTGTATTGGGAAGGTCCCGAATACTCGAATTACATGGAGGATTCTTTAATTTTTTCGACAGAAGATTATTTTCTTACCCCTGAACCAGTTTGCATCATGTTTGCTAACCTGACTAACCAAGCCAAGCAGATTGAACATACAAATCCAAACTTAAGATACATATTGGCCGACCATAAGAACAAAATACTTATAGTACAAGATCCCCCATTTATGCCAACCGTGAGTTGGGTAGGGTATGTTGCACAATCCAGGAATCAAACACCGTATAAATACCAAATAAACTTCACAGAATTTGCATGATTTCAGCTCTCTAAACTTTATTATTCTTAGACTGCCACTAACATAGTGTTGGAGTGTCTTGTATCCAGATTGCCCATCACGGATTTCAACCATTGGATACTCCAGCATCATAGAGCTGGTGGTGAACCACTCCCAAATAGAGAACATAAATATCCCATAGCAGGTGTGTTAGGAAAACAGGTGCTTATGAAAACTTCAAATGAATTCAAGCCAATCACACAACATCCTAGTGTACGATGAGCACCTCTAAACAGCCTTGCATTCTTGATCCCTCCCAAATCTGAAAAACAAAAAGGACTGGGAAAAGCCAAAAGCTTTCCCTTTCTATTTTCTATTAAATATATTTTACTTGACACTTGTTTGTTCGTTTTCTCCTGTTAAGAATTTTTTTACATGGGCATTTAGTTCCATTTGCTCCACCAAATCCTCTAGACAACCAGATTATATGAAGCAAATATAAATGCTTCTCTAATCAAATTCAAACAAGCAGAGCATACAAGAAACATTTTGTCACCATTCAAAAGATATAATTTTCAACCCTAGATTAATACAGTTAGCATTCATGGCTAACATATATGCATTAATGCTCCTTGGGCCTCTGCTACGGTCTGTGAAATACATCAATCATTACAATGCTTCAACATACTTATCTATACTCCAATACATGAAATCAAGCACTATATCGATCAACTAGGCTGGGTACTCTCATCCATGACAGTCATATAGGCAAAAACACTTCAGACTGTTGTTAGATAGTGAAAATGCGGAAGGGAGACCATTCAGATATTCAGTTTGAGTTAGGATGTTGAGGCTACAATCAGAAAAGAATAAGAAAGTAAATAATAAGTCATGTGATTGATCATTCCAGGTTAGCATGATAAGAACAAATTTGAGTTCTTATAACTCAGTCACAAGAAAACTTAATTTTCTTTCAGAAGTCATATATATTCCAACTACTTATAAAAATGTTCATTCTCTATATCATATCATTAGACAACAATGTTTCATATTTAACTCAACATAATTGACATTTCTTCTCAATGCTAGTCTTCCTTTCCCAAATACTGGTAAAAATCTAGCTTACATGACTAACAATTACAAATTATTTACAAGGCAACCTAATTCGAGTCACATTTTCATCAAAGATTTATTCACATGTTAGTTTTCCTTTCAAAAGTATCCATATCAACACCGTTTTTGGTTAATTTTCATTTCAATGTATTATTACGTTAGGACAATTAAATAATTCGCTTACATGACTAAAAATTGTAAATAATTTACAGCACAACTTCCTCATATTTTGCAGTCAGTCATATATTCAACCATGTCTTAGTTTTCGCTTCAAGTATTCATTTTAACATTGCTTAGGAATAAGGCATCTAAAAACAAAACAAATGAACATAATAACTAAAATAAACTCTACTTTTTAAAATTACATAGACTAAAATATTTCATTCAAATTTGAACTACCAAACACACACCTAGCTCAAATCAAAGAGTCTAAAAGCATACTAATACCTTTAAGACAAAAAGCATACCTTAGGTTCTCCATCAAGATGTACAACAGCCCCATCCCTATACGTCAACATGGACCTCCCATTCCTGGGATGAAACCGGACCGGAACGCCGCGCCCTCCGGCAAGGGGATTGAATGCGAAGACCGACTTCAATCCGTGCGTCTCGAGAATGTCCCGGACCTCGATCTGGTCCTGCTCCCACCCGCCCAGTGGCGACTTGAACACCGCGATGGGGCCCCTGCCCTGCCGGTAGAGGTGGATCTCCACCTCGGGGACCTTCGTCCGCACGTGCTTCGCCCGCTCGCTCGTGCGGGGAGTCACCTCCTCCGGTGTCGCCTCCACCTCCTCGATTTCTCCCACCAGGAGGGGCGTCTTGAGGTCGCCGTCCATGATCGGTGCGGTTGCCGGCCAAGACGAGGACGCGGAGTGTGGATCTGGAGGAAGAAGATAGGGTTGTTGATGATGTTTAGTGGAATTATATATGTTTTGTTCGTTGCGGGCTGAAGTTTTGTTGGATGGTCGATGGAATTTTGTTGATGGAAGATTTGGGAAGAGGAATCAGAAACTTCAGAAAAGTGTTACTTATCTCTCACTATAGGTTTTGTTTAATTATGTTTTACTGTTGTGGATAATATCATATTTAATATCTTCTAAATAATCTTTTCACTCCTTTACATATTCTTTTAAAATTATTTTTTATTGAATAAAAATAATGTTTCTAAAGGTAGTTTCAGTCTTTCATTTTCTTTTTCAAATAAAATCCTACGTGTGTCTATATATATATATATTACCTAGACAGACATGAATCTTATATTTATAGGATTTGTGGTAATTAAACATATTGATTAAGCATTAACCGCACTATATTTTTAGGCAATTAAACCCAATAATCAATTATTAATATCGTATATTTGTAAAGCGTAAGACGACTCATTAATACATGCAGTATATATGCTAATTGTCTACAAATGACCATTAACTCCAATCAGTATATTTTATATAGTACATAAGTCCCTCAAGCCCAAGCAAGCTCTTTATTGAAAGAGGTGCGCAACTCATGTTATATGTAGGGAGTCTAGGAGCTCTCTTTGGAATCATCGAGCGGCATGATGTAGGAGTTCTCTTTGGAAGCTCCTTCTGCTCGAAGTTCAGGTGTATTCGTTGTGGAACCACCGAGCGACGTGTTGTACTCTGTGGAAAATCCCTAGGTCGAAGTTTGGGTGAATTTGTTGTGGAATCATCGAAGTGACGGGCTCTAGGTGGCTGAGTGGTTTGTATGCAAGCTCATGTCATCTGCACTTAAGAGAAAATAGCAATTCGAATTCGAATGGTCAGAAAAAATGTAGCCAATTAAATTAATATCAAAATAGTTTAGGCTATTAAGCCCAATGGCCGGGCAAGCGAGTTTATTTGGTCTTCGGTGGAACGTTTGAAGGCCAAAAATGAGAAATCTGTATCAGGATGTGTGACGGATGAGCAATTGCCTTGAGACCTGCAAAATAGATGAGGACATTGACTATAATAATATAAATAGGCACCGCTCGGGATACGCTCAACGAGGGTAGAGGTGCCTAGTTGATGCTCGCACAAGAGCCAAGCCATTGGAACCTGACAAGGCTGAACGTAAGTGGTCCAATTAACCAAGTAGGAAGGGACTGAATCTTCCTGTGTAAGATATTTTCACTCACGAAAATATGGATTAAATAAAATAAGGCAAATGCTTCAATATTTTATAATTTATTTTTATAATGAAAAGTCATTGGAACTTGACAAGGCTGTGTGGTCTAACTGACAAAGAGGGAAGGGATTGAACCTTCCTGTGCAGGATATTTTTACTCAAAAAAATATGCGTTATACAAAATAAAGCAAACGCTTCAATATTTTTATACTTTATTTTTATAATGAAAAGTCATTAGAACATTGACAAGGTTGAACATTGGTGGTCCAACTGACCAAGCGGTAAGAAATTGAACCTTCTTGTATAGGATAGTTTTACCCACAAAAATATGCGTTAAATAAAATAAAGTAAATGCTTCAATCTTTTATAATTTATTTTTATAATGAAAACCAATTAGAATCTCATAAGGTAGAATGCTGGTGGTCCAATTGACCAAGCTGGAAGGGACTGAACCTTCCTGTGCATGATATTTTTACTCACAAAAATATGCGTTGAACAAAATATTCAATATTTTATAATCTTCTTTTATAATGAAAAATCATTGGAACTTGACAAGGTTGAAAGTTTGTGGTCCAACTGTTCAAGCGGTAAGGAATTGAACCTGTGCAAGATATTTTTACTCACAAAATATGTGTTAAACAAAATATTCAATATTTTATAATCTTCTTTTATAATGAAAAGCCATTGGAAGTTGACAAAGTTGAACATTGGTGGTTCAACTGACTAAGTGGTAAGGGATTGAACCTTCTTGTGCAGGATATTTTTCCTCAAAAAAATATACGTTAAATAAAATAAGGTAAATGCTTCTATATTTTATAATTTATATTTATAATGAGAAGCCATTAGAACCTGACAAGGTTGAACGTTGGTGGTACAACTAACCAAGCGGTAAGGGATTGAACCTTCCTGTGCAAGATATTTTTACTCTCAAAAATATACATTAAACAAAATATTGGAACCTAACAAGGTTGAACGTTGGTGGTCCAACCGACTAAGCAGTAAGGGATTGAACATTCCTCTGCAAGATACTTTTACTCACCAAAATATGCGTTAAACAAAATATTCAATATTTTATAATGAAAAGCCATTGGAACTTGACAAAGTTGAATGTTGATGGTCAACCTAACCAAGCGGTAAGAGATTGAACCTTCATGTGCAAAATATTTTTACTCACAAAAATATTCCTTAAATAAATTAAGGTAAATGTTTCAATATTTTATAATTTATTTTTATAATGAAAATCATGAGAACCTGACAAGGTTGAACGTTGGTGGTTCAACTGACTAAGCGGTAAGGGATTGAACCTTCGTGTGCAAAATATTTATATTTTTACTCACAAAAATATGCATTAAACAAAATATTCAATATTGTATAATCTTCTTTTCTGTGAAGGCATTTAATTATTTTGCCTCGTAAACCTCTAATGGTTACCTGAAAGTTCTCAAAACAAAAGACATGCTTTTAGAAATTATTATGGAAGTTTTTTCTCTTGTTTCAAAACCTCGTATTGATTCGAAGTAGTGATGCCAAGGTCGAGCGCACATCTGGTTTCTCATGGTTTCATGGGGATGCCGCTTAGTCCCACGGTGGGCGCCAAAATGTTTCGGTTGAATTGGTCCAAAGGTATTTGAGGGTTGGTCGTCCTTCCTTGTTGTGTTCTCTTTCGATCGTCCAATCTTCTCCGAGAATGCAATCCACTCTGATGGGTTGTTGACTTGCAGAAGACACTCTAACGCTCAAGTTAGATATGTTTCATAAAGCGGTCTTTATTTTATTAGGATAGATGAAGGTTATTTTACCTAGACACCTATCATATATTTATAGGGCTTAACGCAATATAGTTTTAGGCAATCAATAATCAATTATTAATATTGTATATTTATAGAGCGTAACTGGCCTATTAATTCTTATTGATATTTTTCATATCATACAATATATGACGTGATGCCAAATTTATGGATAAATGAGAATTAAAAAAAAAAAGATTCTAAGAAATATATGACGTGATGCCAAATTTATGGAGTTTCTAAGAAAAAAAAAAGAGATTCTACATTGATGAAATTGTGGAATTACAAAGAAGTTGTATGTTACAATATTAAAGTTGGTTATTCTTTCGGGTATGGGGTTGAGGTCCCTTATTTAAATTTATACGATGTTCGCTCTCCCTCCTACATGTCGAATCTATGTTGGTGGGTACTTGTCAAAGACACTCCGACACTCAAGTCAGTGGTATAACCGACTGTTTATCACAACATGTGATGCATATAATGCGCATAATAATCTAAAGTCATACTTGTGACCTTTATTTATACTAGGTGTGATAGATTTTTACCTTTCGCGGACCTAATGATGGTCCAATAACACCTTAATTTGCATAAGGGTTTTAATGAGTTACTACCGTTTATAATCTAACCATGTGGCTTGTCTGGGTGGTTGGCCTAGTGGTCGACTTGGTGATTGGCCTGAGTGGTTGGCCTGGTGATTGCTTGGACGGTCGACCTAGCAGTCGGCCTAGTGGTCAACTTAGTGATCGACTTAGGTGTTCGGTCAAGGAATCAGCTTGATGATCGGCTTGGTGATGCTCAGGAGACCGTACGTCATAATTATTTTGGATTTTTAACGTCAAATCAAGTTAATGTTTTAATATCTTAACTGGAGGAATAAAAAAATTAAAAACTTTATATTATTTTTTTGGTATTTTAACATTATTTTAAAAAAAGTGTTAGACAATAAGAGCAGTCGTACAAGCACTAAAAGGTTAAAAAAAAANCTTCTGCTCGAAGTTCAGGTGTATTCGTTGTGGAACCACCGAGCGACGTGTTGTACTCTGTGGAAAATCCCTAGGTCGAAGTTTGGGTGAATTTGTTGTGGAATCATCGAAGTGACGGGCTCTAGGTGGCTGAGTGGTTTGTATGCAAGCTCATGTCATCTGCACTTAAGAGAAAATAGCAATTCGAATTCGAATGGTCAGAAAAAATGTAGCCAATTAAATTAATATCAAAATAGTTTAGGCTATTAAGCCCAATGGCCGGGCAAGCGAGTTTATTTGGTCTTCGGTGGAACGTTTGAAGGCCAAAAATGAGAAATCTGTATCAGGATGTGTGACGGATGAGCAATTGCCTTGAGACCTGCAAAATAGATGAGGACATTGACTATAATAATATAAATAGGCACCGCTCGGGATACGCTCAACGAGGGTAGAGGTGCCTAGTTGATGCTCGCACAAGAGCCAAGCCATTGGAACCTGACAAGGCTGAACGTAAGTGGTCCAATTAACCAAGTAGGAAGGGACTGAATCTTCCTGTGTAAGATATTTTCACTCACGAAAATATGGATTAAATAAAATAAGGCAAATGCTTCAATATTTTATAATTTATTTTTATAATGAAAAGTCATTGGAACTTGACAAGGCTGTGTGGTCTAACTGACAAAGAGGGAAGGGATTGAACCTTCCTGTGCAGGATATTTTTACTCAAAAAAATATGCGTTATACAAAATAAAGCAAACGCTTCAATATTTTTATACTTTATTTTTATAATGAAAAGTCATTAGAACATTGACAAGGTTGAACATTGGTGGTCCAACTGACCAAGCGGTAAGAAATTGAACCTTCTTGTATAGGATAGTTTTACCCACAAAAATATGCGTTAAATAAAATAAAGTAAATGCTTCAATCTTTTATAATTTATTTTTATAATGAAAACCAATTAGAATCTCATAAGGTAGAATGCTGGTGGTCCAATTGACCAAGCTGGAAGGGACTGAACCTTCCTGTGCATGATATTTTTACTCACAAAAATATGCGTTGAACAAAATATTCAATATTTTATAATCTTCTTTTATAATGAAAAATCATTGGAACTTGACAAGGTTGAAAGTTTGTGGTCCAA